TAGAGTATTGTGTAAATCCAGGTTCCCTGATCCTTTTGTTTAATAACAGGAAAGAGGCACTACTTTTTTCTTTTCACTTGTGCTAACATGAAAACATAAGAGCAAGCAGTAAGGCCTAATTGTATAAAAACTGTACATGTCTTACGCGGTAAGAACACACTGTCCCTCTTACCCCAGATGTTCTCTAAAAGTTTCTGTACCTAATTATCCTATCTACATTTTAAACGTTGTTCTTACTTTCTTTTTCAAGTAGGTGAAGTTAGAAATAAAAAAATAAATATTAAACTTTGATATATTTATTGTTTAATATTAATATTAAACTTTAATATATGGTTAATCTAAAGTTCAATAATCTATGAAAAATTATCAAATTCACAGGACTCAACAATAAAAAAGAACCAGAGAAGTAAAGACCTCTAATGAAGTGCGATTGGTACATCTGCCCTGAAGAGAGCTTTTTGAAAGGAAGGAAAGGAGGGAGGAAAAAGGAAAGTTGAAGGCTGCAGACATTTCTAAGTATTAAAGTGGGTAGACTAAGTAGGAGAAAAGTTAATTACCAAATGGTTAAAGTCAAAGTGTAATACTGGGACCCGAGAGACTTCGGGATTAAACAGACGAACTTACGTCTGCTCTCCCCTCCTTCCGAATCACCATAAAGTGACAGCCCACAGTGCCTGGGCCTTGGGGAACCCCAGGAGATAGAGTCTAGGCCCTCAGAAGGGCTGCAGAAGGACAGAAGACACTCCTTGTCCCCTCTCTGTCCTTCAGAGCCCCATCCCCTCTCTCACCCAGTGGAAGACAAAAGACTTCCTATCACGTGAGACTGGACTACAGGCAGCACCAGGGACAGTAACACAATAATGAAAACACCTTTCCACTAAAAGAATTAGGGAGGAAACAGAGACAAGGCAGAGATCAGAAGAAAAGTACAGAGGGATAACACTGTATTCATGAAATAAAGTACAGAATGCTATTTTCTAAAAGGAGGTGGGAACATTCAGAGAATAAAAAAGAGCTCTTGGATACTAAACTTATGACTGCTGACATTCAATAGAAGAATTGGGAAATACAGTTAAGAAAAATCTCAAAATAGACGAACCCAAACAAACAAGGAGACACAAAATAGGCGGAAAACATATAACAAATGGTAAGTCCAGAAAATGCAACAGAGGGCCAGAAATAAAGATAGAACATGGAGAAAAGATAATTCTCAAAGAAATAATTCAAGGATTTCACAGAACTAAAGAACAGGTGTTTGTAAGTGTGAAGTCCCACTGGTCGAGGAGACCACAAAGGCATATCATTGTGAAATGTCAAGACACCAGGGATAAAGAGAAGACTGTGGAAGCTTCCAGAGAGAATGAACAGACCCCGTGTAAAGGATCAGGGGTCAGGCTGGCATTAGGCTCTCAACAGCAATGTTAGAGGCAATGGCTAATATCCTCCAAATTTGGAGGGCAGATGGGCATAACGATGTCTGCAGATATGCAAGATTCCAAACTCTCTCTCATGAACCTGCCAAGATAAAGGAGGAGGTTACAAGAAAGGGGGACGGGGCAGAAACAAGAAGCCAAGTGAATTCCCAAGAAGTTGGGAAGTGAGGACAAAAACCCTGCAGCCAGTCTGGAGGTGAATTGCCCAAATGGGAAGGGAACAACATAGTTCCAGAAATACCCTCTCCAAGGAAAACAACACAACACACTGAGAGGCTGTCTGGTGTGTTTAAGCACACTATGTTTAGGAAAGAATCAACGATAGGTACACAGAAACCAAACAAAGAAAAAACAAGGCCGTTTTCAACTCAATTATGCTTAAGGAAACATAATCATGGGACACTACGTAGTTATCTACAAATACAATTTGCACAATAATACAATCACTAAATATTGATTTAACCGAAAGTTGTGATGTGAAACTACACTGGCAGGATGGAACACAAAGACATTCATATTTTATAGTAGAGAGTCAATAAAACTGAAAAACATAGTATTTAGAAATATAGAGGTAAACAGAAGGAAAGGGCTAAAAATTTGAGTCATATACTCTAGGAAATTGGGACAGGGCAGAGACCCATTCTTCTGCTATTACTCTTAAAGGAATATTTGACCTTTAAAATTATTTATATGTATCACTTTCATAAAAACAAAATATGATTAGATAAAAAAGCTGAATTTTCTTGGTCAACTGTAAGTGAAAAAAATGAGTAAAATGTAGTTTTTAAATTACGGCAGGTACTAAGACTGATACTCAATTTGTGCCTATAAACCAAAAATAAAATTCTAAGCTCCCCATCTGACTGAGGGTCCTTCACTCAGCCAAGGGCATTCCAAAGCTAACCTGAAAACTAGTTCAGGCCATGATGGGACATGGGGGGTTGAACATGCCTCATTATACCCTCCTTCCTTTGGAATTCAGGCCCAGATGACCAGCATTAACATCAAAACAGAGACCTTAAGACTGACAGAAATGATAGGAAACATTTACAATCTATTATTTCTGAAGCCCACTATCTGGAGGCTTCACCTGCATGACAAAACCTTGGTCTCAACAATCACTTATCTTAACCCAGACATTCCCTTCTATTGATTTTCATGTTTTTAGATAATAACTCTTTCAACCAATTGCCAATCAGAAAATCTTTTAATCTACCAATAACCTGGAAGCCAGAGGCTTTCCAAATCACACTAAAATGACAGTCCACAGTGCCTGAACCTTGGTGAACCTTTTGGACCAAACCAATGTACATCTTGTATATGTATTGATTGATTGATTGATGTCTTTTTTTTTTTTTTTTTTGAGATGGAGTCTTGCTCTTGTCGCCCAGGCTGGAGTGCAGTGGCATGATCTTGGTTCACTGCAACCTTTGCCTCCTGGGTTTAAGCAATTCTCCTGCCTCAGCCTCCCGAGTACCTGGGACTACAGGTGTGTGCCACCACCCCTGGCTAATGGTTTGTATTTTTAGTAGAGACTGGGTTTCGCTGTGTTAGCCAGGATGGTCTTGATCTCCTAACCTCATGATCTGCCCACCTCGGCCCCCCAAAGTGCTGGGATTACAGGTGTGAGCCACCGCACCCAGCCAATTGATGTCTTAGGTCTCTCTATAATGTATAAAACCAAGCTGTAGCCCAACCACCTTGGCACATGTTCTCAGGATCTCCTGAGGCTGTGTCACGAACCATTGGTCACTCATATTTGGCTCAGAATAAGTCTCTTCAAATATTTCACAGAGGTTGACTCTTTTCATTGGCATGCCTTTAGAGAACCATGGGATCTCATGATTGGAAGCCCCTGAACAATCATCTGATATGCCACCTGCTTCCCAGTGTGAGACCAGCTATGTGAACTGTGAACAACTCTGCCCCTAGGAACTGCTCCCAACACAGTTAAGGCCCCCGAAACACCATACCCAGGTAAACACACTAACTTTTCCATAGTCAAAGATGGCCAGGCATGACCCTGAAGCCTCTTCTCTGCTGGGTTCCTACTTCCACTTCTCTCTAGCTTCTGAGGGGCTCTCTCTGAGTCCCAGACTGTGTGACCAAAAAGGCCTTAGGCAATAGCTCCTAATCTCACATCCCTCCAATCTGGGAGAGCAGCCAGACCAAGACAGACTACTCTTTGTGGCAATTTCAAACCTTGCAAGGATGGGCTGCAGGGTGGAGCCTAGGCTGGGTGCTCATGTGCTCACCACTGGGCAGGGAACAGGGCAGGGATGGGGACACAGTCCGCACCAGGAGCAAAGCTGTACCCTTGCAGTCAGCTGAGGGAGGAGGGTCATTCTCCAGGAGAAACTGGTAATGGGTAGGCAATCCATGAAACAGGCCATGGATGGTAAAGAAAGAGAATGTTTATTAAATTTGTCTCTTGAAAGATTCAATTTTTGGTCATGTTTGAGAATTAATTATGTCTTCTCTAACTAATGATTTTATGCTATAAGCTTCCTGTGCTCTGGGACATGGATGTATGATCAGCATCAAATGCCACAAAGCAGGAATTCAACAAGATGATCATTTGTTTTTAAGAAAATGTCTCTTTGTTTATTTCCTGTGGAAATAATGACTTCCTGGGTAAATGTGGCAAGAGTAAAAAAAATCTGCTTCCAGACCTTAAACCTTTTACTCATAAGTTTAGTAATGGGACATTTTTATAGAGTTTTGGTGACTTTACAATTTTTGTCTTCAGGTGGTGTGTTTTTTGTTATTTCCATTTGCATTGTAAAATGGTATCTCATCAGAGGAGCCAAGCTGCTAGAAATAGATTCAAAAGTAACAGTTCATGTTGATGCCTCTGGGGTAACACATACACTCGATCTGGTTCCTAACCATGCCATAGACACAAAAAACTAAAATCAATTGCCTCAGCACCTCACATTGCTCAAAAATACATAAGCCAATACTATCCATGTGATTGATAAGTGTTAACAGAAAAACAAAACTGTAAAATATCTCAAGATGTTTATACTGAGCCAATATGAGTGACCATGGCCCAGTGTTCAGTTTCAAGATGTCCTGAAACAGTGTGCTTGAGGTGGTTGGGTTACAGTTCGCTTTTATACATTTTAGGGAGACAGAAGTTACAGGCAAAAACGTAAATCAATACATGGAAGGTATACATTGGTTCATCCTAAAGAGGTAGGATACATTGAAGCAGGGGCTTACAGGTCACAGGTGGATTCCAATATTTTCTGATTAGCAATTGGTTGAAATAATTAAGCTTTGTTTAAAGACAAAAGAAATGCCTGAGTTAAGTTAAGGGGGGCTGTGGACACCAAGGTTCTTTGCTATTATTATTTGATACAGGGTCTCATTCAATTGCCCAGCCTGGAGTGCAGTGGTGCAATCACAATTCGCTGCAGCCTCAACCTCCCAGACTCAATGATCCTCCCACCTTAGCCTCTCAAGTAGCTAGGGCTGCAGGCACACACCACCATGACTGGGTTTTTTGTTTGTTTGTAAAGATGGGGTTTCACCATGTTGCCCAGACTGGTATCAATCTCCTGGGCTCAAGTGATCTGCCCACCTCAGTCTCCCAAAGTGTGGGATTACAAGTGTGAGCTACAGGCCCAGCCAGACCAAGGTTCTTGTTATGCAGATGAAGCCTCCAGGTAGCAGCTTTCAGAGAACATAGAAGGTAAATGTCTCTTTTCAGATCTTAAAGGTAACAAATTCATTTAATCTCTCCTAGATCCCAGAAAGACCTAGAAGGGGAAGGCCTGGCCACATTAATGGAGATATCTCTACAGATGCAAATTCCCCCCACAGGAAACAGTTTTGCAGGGCCATTTCAAAATATATCAAAGAAATATATTTTTGGGGTAAAATATTTTTATTTCCTTCAGAGTCGGCTGTCATATGATGCTATACCAGAATCAGGTTGGAATTTGCTATCTTATGTGCCACTCTTTGTGGCAACAAAGTGTCTGTTTTATCAGCCTAATAATCTCTATTTCAATGTTAATGCTAGTCAGTTGTGCCCAACTCTGACAGGGAAAGGGTATAACGAGGTATGTCTAACCTCCCTTCCCATCACGGCCAAAAACACAGTTTTTCAGTTTTCTCTGAGGCCAAGACAGGGTCCATTCAGTTGGCTGGGGGACTTAAGATTTTATTTTTGGTTTACATCATGGAGGTTGGGGCCGTGTTCTCCGTCAACAGGCACGACCAATTGTCTTAGTATTTACAGTTTATGTCTTTTTTTTCATTCTTTTTTTTCACCGGGGCGTTCCTGAGTTTATTTGGGGCACACCCGGGCGAAGGCCCTGGACCTAGAAGGTGTTGGGCCTCCTGGTGGTGAAGCGCGGCTAGTGCTGATGGCGCAGGACCGGGTGGGGTAGCAGGAACTTGATCTTGGAATCGTGGCTTGACGGCTGGCCGGCGGCACTTACTGGCTGCGATCTCCTCCACCTTCATGATCTGGATGGAGTGGGTCCAGGCGCCGTACCGGGCGCCCATGTCTCGCTAGTACTGGATGACAGCGCATGCGATGGTCGGGTCCTGGTATTCCCGGTGTCAGGCCTCTGAGCGTGAGCTAAGCCATCAAATCCCCTGTGACCTGCACGTATACATCCAGATGGCCTGAAGCAACTGAAGATCCACAGATGTGAAAATAGTTTAACGAGGACAGTCCATGTTGGGATTTGTTTCTGCCCCACCCTAACAGATCGATGTACCTTTGTAATTTCCTCACCCTTAAGGAAGGTCTTTATATCTCCCCACCCTTAAGAAGTTCTTGTAATTCTCCCCACCCGTTGAAGAATGAACTGTGGTAGCTTCACCCCCTGCCCCCAAAATATTGCTCTTAACTTCACCGCCTATCCCAAAACCTGTAAGAACCAATGACAATCCCACCACCCTTTGCTGACTCCTTTTTCAGACTCAGCCAGCCTGCACCCAGGTGAAATAAACAGCCATGTTGCTTACACAAAACCTGTTTGGTGATCTCTTCACACGGACACGTGAAACACCCGGTACATGTTGTGGGTGCTGCTACGGGAGTCATAGCGCAGCCAGATGCCAAAGTTCTTCACCCGCAAGGGGGACTTCTCAAACACTTGCCCACAGTAGACAATCTCCCCTGAAGACTTCTTCATCTTCTTTAACTGAGATAGGAAGTACCAGAAGCGGGTCTTGGCGATGACATCATTAGGCGCAAAGATTCGCATGCGGTATAGGGGCAGTGTGTGGCATTTGGGGGTGGGCGGGCAGCGACCCACCACCTTGCACTCTCGTAGTGTGCCCAAGGCCTTCATGGCATCCTCTCCGCGCTCACCGCCACCCGCAAAAGGTACAGTTTATGTCTTTACGGTTAATTGCACTTGAAGAAAATAAAAATATTTTACCCCAAAGTATATTTCTTTGACACATTTTGAAATGGCTGCCACAGGGCCAGCAGACAAAGTGGCCTTGTAAAGCTGTCTCTTGTCGGGGAAATTTGCATCTGTAGAGAATCTCCATTAATGCAGCCAGGCCTTCCCTTTCTAGGCCTTTCACAGATCTGGGAGAGATTGAGTCTGACACCTTTACAAGTCTGAAAAGACATGTTTACTATCTATTCTCTCTAGGGGTTCTAGCTATAAGGCTTCATCCACATAACAAGGCCACTTTTGCTAGCCAAGCCTCCTTTTTTCTCTCCCCTATAACCTGTCTTGCCATTAAAACCTGTTTTGGGCCACACTCTGAGCCTGCGTTCTTTTTATAACCTCAAGGTGGTATATAAGCTTCTGTACCTTATTGAGGGGTTGGATCTTCATTCTGAAAGCTCCCATGTATACATGTTAAATAAATCTGCCTTTTCTCCTATTAATCTGCTTTTTGTAAATTGATTTTCAGTGAACCTTTACAGGGCCAAGGGGAAAACTCTCCTTTGGCCCTTAGGGTGAACAGTGAAGAAGATACAAGGGGCACAAGAGGATGCAGCAAGTTTTCACAATAAGACTAGGAGATTACACAGTTTGACAGAATGAACTCGTCATTATTTTTCATTTCAGGTGCTCAGAACATGTAGTTCAATTAACTGGTATTGAAATTGCACGCCAGAAAAAAACATATATTTCTCTTTTCTTTTCTTTGAGCTAGAAGACTAGTTTGCTACAAAATAGTCTCTTTCCCTGGTGAAAAAAACAAGGGGTGAAATTTAAAACCTGTTTTTAATCTCATGACCATTAGAGGCCCTGATTTAAAAAAAAAAAAAATGATTATCTTACAAAAATCAACAACTACCTAAACATTTACAAATAAAAATCTCCTTTCACTGAAGAAGTATTCTATTATAACGAATCACTGGAAAAGAATAAGCCTGTAACAGTACCCTTTGCATCAAATAATGCCTTAAGGGTTCAGAAGTCCTTGAATATTATTTCTTCTGATCCTCACAGCAATTCCATTAGGCTGTTCTCAACGTGATACATGGATGACGGAAAAACAGCCTGAAGTCAGAGAAGGCTTGCATAAAGTCACTCAGCTTACAGGAATCAGGGCTGCAGCCAGGCTTTGACATTTAGCCCTGGTCTCTCTCTTTCTGATAAATCCAGTTTCCTTCCCCTTCTCAGATCTCCAACTATGCCACAACAAAGTCTTGCATGGTGTGTGTGTTCCTCTCCTCTCTAAATATTCCCTCCTGTTGCAGTAAGTTTCCAGCCTAAAAATGTGAAATTTAAAAACTTTTTATCTAAACACAAGTGAAATAAAAAGCAAAACAATGAGATAACCAAAAACCTGGCAACTTGGAAGGGGGGGAAGAAAAGTATTTTAGAGGACTCCTTTTAAAAAAAGGTCATATTTTAAGATCATAATAGTGAAGATTAAAAACTCAGTAATACTCCACACCTTTATTAATATTGGGCAGTACGCATCATCACAGAACAGATATTTAATATGTACTCGAACTGGTCCAGACCATAGAAAACGATGGAAGGTTCCCCCTAATTCATTCCAAGACGCTAGAACACACTTAATACCAAAGTATGATAAAGAAAAACAGAAACCAATTTCACTTATAAATATTGATGCAAAGATTCTAAGTCAAGTACTGGCAAATAGATCCCAGAAGTGAATTTGTTACAGTAGGTAGCTAGTCAGGCATAAGCAGGGCAGGAAGGTGCTCCCAGCACCCATACACACACACACACACCTGGAATGTGAGGTGACCATTAGGTGATGGTCAGGCGGTTGCTGACTCTCTTTCTAAAATAATAATTGATCACAGCCGGTGCCAGAGAAAGGCAGTCTCCTAATAGATAGAGAACACCTGAAACTGGTGAGCAGCAGCTTCCCGATAAGATCTCAGGAGTTGGACAAGTGGGCTCAGGCATGCATATTAAGAGGCAGAATGGCAGGAGGGCGGGGTTTAAACGGTATATGACCTTCCAGGGACATCTGACTGGTAAGGACCTCAAGTGAGCATGTGTACAACTCCAGTAAACACACTGTGCATGCTCATCTCCCAAGCACTAGTAGGCTACTGTGCACGTGGACATCCCACCTAAAGGGAAGAATTAGAAGGAATCCAAGACCCTGGAAGTATGTCAACATACAAAACCCTAAGTCAGGCCAGGCACGGTGGCTCATGCCTGTAATCCCAGCACTTTGGGAGGCTGAGGCGGGGAGATGACTTGAAGTCAGAAGTTTGAGACCAGCCTGGCCAACATGACGAAACCCCATCTCTACTAAAAATGCAAAAATTAGCCAGGCAGGTGCCTGTAATCCCAGCTACTCAGGAGCCTGCGGCATGAGAATCACTTGAACCAGGGAGGTGGAGGCTTCAGTGAGCCGAGACTGCACCATTGCACTCTAGCATGGGAGATACAGTAAGACTCTATCTCCAAGAAAAACAACAAACAACCCTAAGTCAAAGGTCAAACTGCACACTTCATCTCACAAGTCACCTGCTTGGCCCTCTTCCAAGTGGACTTTACTTCCTTTCATTCATGCTCTACAGCTTTTAAATAAACTTTCAGTCCTGTTCTAAAACTTGCCTTGGTCTCTCCTTCTGCCTTACACCTTGGTCAAATCCTTCTGAGGAGGCCAGAACTGAAGTTGCTGCAAACCTACATAGATTCACCACCAGTAACAAATTAACAGAAAAATATACGGAATATAATATAATAATATAACATGGTTTATTTCAGGAATGCGGAGATGGATTAACATTAGCACAACTATCAACATAATTTATTATATTTTTAAGTGAAAAGATAACCATGCAATAAAACATAAAGGTTGGAAGATGGCCGAATAGGAACAGCTGTGGTCTACAGTTCCCAGCGAGATCAAAGCAGAAGACGGGTGATTTCTGCATTTCCAACTGAGGTCACCAGCATCAAAGACCAAAGGTAGATAAAACCACAAATATAGGGAGAAACCACAGCGAAAGGCTGAAAATTCCAAAAACCAGAATGCCTCAGAAAAAACCAGAGGCCTCCGAAATAACACCACACATCTACCACCATCTGATCTTTGACAAACCTGACACACACAAGCAATGGGGAAAAGATTCCCTATGTAATAAATGGTGTTGAGAAAACTGGCTAGCCATACGCAGAAAACTGCCACTGGGCCCCTTCCTTACACATTATGCAAAAATCAACTCAAGATGGATCAAAGACCTAAACTTAAGACCTAGGACCATAAAAATCCTAGAAGAAAACCTGTCCAATACCATTCAGGACATCAGCATGGGCAAAGATTTCATGTGTAAAACACCAAAAGCAATGGCAACAAAAGCCAAAATTGACAAATGGGATCTAATTAAACTAAAGAGCTTCTGCACAGCAAAAGAAACTTATCATCAGAGTGAACAGGCAACCTACAGAATGGGAGAAAATGTTTGCAATCTTCCCATCTGACAAAGGGCTAATATCCAGAATCTATAAAGAACTTAAACAAATTTACAAGAACAAAGCAAACAACCCCATCAAAAAATGGGCAAAGGATATGAACAGACACTTCTCAAAAGAAGACATTTATACAGCCAACAGACATAAGAAAAAATGCTCATCATCACGGGTCAATAGAGAAATGCAAATGAAAACCACAATGAGCTACTATCTCATGCCAGTTAGAATGGCGATCATTAAAAAGTCAGGAAACAAGAGATGCTGGAGAGGTTGTGGAAAAATAGGAACACTTTTACACTGTTGGTGGGAATGTAAATTAGTTCAACCACTATGGAAGACAGTGTGGCAATTCCTCAAGGATCTAGAACTAGAAATACCATTTGACCCAGAAATCCCATTACTGGGTATATACCCAAAGGATTATAAATCATTCTACTATAAAGACACATGCATACGTATGTTTACTGTGGCACCATTAACAACCGCAAAGACTTGGAACCAACCCAAATGTCCATCAATGATAGACTGGATGAAGACAATGTGGCACATATACACCAAGGAATACTACGCAGCCATAAAAAAGGATGAGTTCATGTCCTTTGTAGGGAATGGAAACCATCATTCTCAGCAAACTATCACAAGATCAGAAAACCAAACACCACATGTTCTCACTCATAAGTGGAAGTTGAACAATGAGAACACATGGACACAGGGAGGGGAACATCACACACTAGAGCGTGTGAGGCATGGGGGGCTAGGGGAGGGATAACATTAGGAGAAATACCAAATGTAGGTGATGGGTTGATGGGTGCAGCAAACCACCATGGCACGTGTATACCTATGTAACAAAACTGCACGTTCTGCACATGTAACCCAGAACTTAAAGTATAATTTAAAAAATAAATAAATAAATTCATGCTTCAAATAGTCGATAATGCCTATCCTTTAGGACATCAAACAATTTATTTAATATGCCATTTATTTATTGGAATTATTTAAAATAATGGCAACTAAACAGGCTTCCGCATTTCCACAAAAAAGGACCATTAGCTCTTGAATGAGGTAAGAAACACAATAAAAAATAATTTAAGGTTAAAAAAAAAAAACATAAAGGTTTAAAAAGCACTTGCTATACAATTCAATAGTTCTTCCCAATTAAAATAAATAAACAGCAAATGACCTAAAACAGAAGTAGAAAAATACACTTAAATAAAAATCACTTACTACAAACCTACAGCAAACAACTCATTATTATTATTAAGAGACAAGTCTCATTCCATTGCCCAGGTTGGAGTGCAGTAGTATGATCACAGCTCACTGTAATCTCAAACTCCTGGATTCAAGTGATCCTCCTGCCTCAGCCTCCTGAGTAGCTAGTACTACAGGCACATACGACCACACTAGGCTAATTTTTAAATTTTTCACAGAGACAGGGTCTTGCTTTGTTGTCCAGGCTAGTCTTGAACTCCTGGCTTTAAGCAATCCTCCCACTTCTACTTCCCAAAGTGCTGGTATTACAGGCATAAGCCACCACTCCTTGCCTGCAAACACTTTATTAAATGGTGAAATAATAAGGCCGTTACTATTCAAGTCAAGACTAAGACAGAGATGTTTGCAATATTGTTTTGAGCCCTAGCTGATGCCATAAGAGAAGACATAAAATAAATAATATAAGTGGCCAGACATGGTGGCTCACGCCTGTAATCTCAACACTTTGGGAGGTTGAGGCAGGCGGATCACCTGAAGTCAGGGGTTCAAGACCAGCCTGGCCAACATGGTGAAACACTGTCTCTACTACAAATACAACATTAGCTGGGCATGGCGGCAAGCGCCTGTAATCCCAGTTACTGAGGTGGCTGAGGCAGCAGAACTGCTTGAACCTAGGAGGTGGAGGTTGCAATGAGCTGAGACCATGCCATCACACTCTAGCCTGGGCAACAAAAGCGAAACTCCATCTCAAAAAATAAAAAATAGAATGAATAAATGAATATTAGCAGAAAAAAGAAAACATTATCCTTATTTGCAGCTATGAGTAGGAACCCAAGAAAAACTAACAACCAATTATAACTAATAAGAGGGCTTAGTAGTTATGGGATATATTTTTCAAAAGTTCTTCTTTACAGTAGTAATAACTAGTTAAAAATGAAGATTGATTAGAAAAATACTATTTACGAGAGAAATAAATGCAATGAATTACCAGTGAAAAACAAGGAAAGTACAGAGCTTATATGAAAGAACTATAAAATTTTATTGAAGTATATATAATAAACGATTGACAAACAGAGACAGTGAATACGTTTTTAGGAGGATAAACTCATCACAAAAGTGTTACTCCTTCCAAAATTCACATACAAATTTAACAGAATTTCAATCAGAGCCTAATGAATTTTGTTGAAGCTGAACTAAGTAAGTTTAAAGTTTACATAGAAAAGTAAATGTAAAAGAATTATCAACAAATTTCTAGGGAAAAATTGTAGTAGGAAAATTTTTAGGAAAAATTTCTCCCTATCAAATACTGAAACTTACTATAACAACTATAATCAAAACAATATGGATTGGCTCAAAAACAGACAAAAAGGTCAGTGAAACAGAAGAGAATCTCAAAATACATGTGATAAAAGTGTACTTTAGGTTACTGGAAAAGATAGTGTAATAAATTATATAAATGCCTATTCCTTTGGAAAATAAGAAGTTGGACTCCTACTTCAAAACAAAAATAATGAAAAAAGTAATTTTGAAATTAATGCAATATCTAAATGTAAATAAGATACATAGCAAACAAAATTCAAAACTCCCCCAAGAAATTCTGAGGATTATTTGGAAGTCTTAAGCATAACAAGAAACCAGGAGAAACAAAGAAAAATACACACTTGGGTTATATAAAAATGGAAAAAAGTATGTATGTAATATATGCCAGAGACAAAATGAAAATACTAAACAATAGGAGAAAATATTTGTAACATGTCACCAAAGAGTTAATATACTTAAAACACAAAATTGCTGCAAATTCACAAGAAGAAGATAAACCACACTCAAAGGAAAAACGAGCTTAAGTCATGTGTAGGCAACTTCACAGATGAGGCATGGCAAGTGGCCATTCAACATAATAAAAAAGTTTTCTTTCTCACTGCTGGTCAGGAAATTGAACCTAATGCCACCTCAGACAACATTTTGCCTATCCAATTTGGGAAAAATTATTTTTAAGAGCAAGTAGGCAGTAAGGTATATGAAAATGGGGCTGTCATAAATAACTTATCAGGACACTTTTGGAAATGATCTCACTGTACCTATTAAAAATAGTGCCTACTCTTTGATCCAGCAATCCTGGTTTTAGGAATATATACTCTATTGAAAAAGGGTATGTGTATAGAAAAGTTACATTGCCGGTAACTCAAAATATTGGAAAACAATCAGAATGCCTACTGACAGGAGAAAAGCTGGACCTTGTGGAATATTCTTTCTGTAGCCATTACAAAGAGCAAGGTATATATTTATTTACCTGTATATATTGACATATGCAACCCCACTGTACCCATGACAAACATGGTTCCCTAGTGGTCTATCCCTAAGGAGTGTCAAATTTCAGAAGCACAGATCAGACACCAAAACCTAATTTAAGAACAATTCTATTCTTTTTTTTGAGGCCGGCTTGAGCTCTGTCACCCAGGCTTGAGCGCAGTGGCACGATCTCGGCTCACTGCAACCTCCATTTTCCAAGCTCAAGCAATCCTCCTACCGCAGCCTCCTGACTA